CAGGTTAAATATGACTTGTCCAGATTTTGGATCAGTGAAGATGAGAATATCGTTAATGTTAGCATGTATTGAGTTACAAAAGTGTCGTAGCTCAGGATACCTTTTGCTAATTGATTCAGCAAACCCTTTTTTCATTGCTCTATCTGCAGAGATTGTATGGGCAATGGGCATATTCGATTCGAATATGGACCTTTTTTTGAAGTCTACATATTGTAGACAGGGGCCGGATAATTGATTATTGCTTTCCTGTGTTGTATTGACAACAGTGTTCAGCATGAAACAGCTATCGAATTCTGAACTTTCGTTTAAAATTCTCGTTGTGAACTCATCACAATCGTGGATAGCAAATATTTTATCCTCGTATCCTTGAATATCAGTTACTGCATAGCCTAGTACACACTTGTTTAGTGTGACAGGATGATCTTTCTGATTTTCAATTAGGATAGGTAGGCTTTGCTCAATTTGAGTACAAACTGTATTAATGAAAACCAATTCGGTTTTAGTTGTATTTTTATGAGGCAGGAATGTAGTCCCTTTTTCGAAGTATGAATTTGGTTTAGCCAAGTGTTTGTATAAGTATGTAGAGCGTGCTGGAATGAACAAGGGTTCTTTCAAGTTAATTGAGACAATCTTTGAAACGTTAGGATATTCTTTATCGTTGTTCATCAACCCGTAGGATATTACACCTTCTTTTGATTTGAGCTCAACTGCTGGGATATCAAAGTAGAGAGCTTTTAAGAAGAGATGACAAAAGTCTACTCCTAATAGGTTAGCAGTCTTTTCTTCAGTTATCCACACTTTGTGGTTAGATGGATATTTTCCATCAGTGTCGAAACAAGATTGGATAGATGTATGGCCAAACATACGTATATCAGATCCATTATAAGTCTTTGCTTTAATTTTGGATCGGTAGATTGTCATTTTTTGACCTAATTTTTCCAATTCCTGATAAGTTGGGTAGTTTATGATACTACAAGTTGATCCTGGATCAATCATGAATTCAATTTCAAGTCCACTATTATTATTTTTGTCTCCGGTGGCAAAATGATATAAGCTAAGATATATCCTTGATTTAGGATTACTATCATCGCTCGGTTTCGGAGACTTTAATAGTTTAAAGGAAAGAAATCAGTGATCGCATCACAGTAATTGACTTCTTCCTCAACCCAGTGGGTAGTTTCAGACTGTATTTGATTCGATCTAAAATTTGGTGATTGAGATCGCGTTGAGTCTCGACTGTTATTGCTATTATAGCTTCCAGTGTTATATGGTCGACCTCTAGGATTACTATTGAATTGCCTATTTTCTTGGTCGTAGAACTGTTTAGCAACTTGTTCATTTTCTCTGAACCTTTTGGAAATTATTTCCGTTGTAGTTATAATTATGGCGAATGCCATAGTTATTTTGGCTAGGATTTGAATTGTTAGTAGTTCTGTTTTGGTTATCCCAAAACCGGTTACTTGGGTTAGGGTTATTCTGGTTAGGGAAGTTATTCGGTCTTCGATTTCGTTTATAATCAGTTTCAAATGAAACTCTTCGTTCATTTTTTGTTGTGAGTTCTTTTCGCAACTTATTTACTTCGTCCTGAACTTGCTTTTTGGAACATCTAGATATAGAATGTCCATTCATTCTGCAATATTCGCAGAATCGTGTACTATTTGGTCTTCCCTTGATGTCAGGGTGACGTCGTTGAAATGAATTCTGATCATTGATTGCACTAACTTCTTGATTCTTGATCAATTTTGTTAGTTCTTTAATTTGAGTTTCTAATGAAGTCATTTTATCCGTTGTTGACTTATTGGCAGGATCAGTAGCAACAATGAATGTTAGATCCTTAGTGATTACATGATTTGTGAATTGATCCCAGTTGGCATTTGGATGCTCTATCATGTATTCATGAGCTTTTTGTTTAAGGGCTAGAGGTCTTAGTCCCTTAATTGAGAAATCAATATACTTTTGACTTCTTTGTCTGTTTTGTATAGTTCTCTCAGCATTTTGAGCAGCTTCAGTAGCATGAACGGCTTCATCAATACTTTCGGGCCATCCTCTATCTACAGAAGATTTAATTCTGTGGAAGTAATTTTTTATTAATTCGCCATCTTGGCGAGCTGCATTTTCAGCATCAATTCTATGTTTGAATTGATCTCGTCCGTCGAACGAATCTGTTTAGGAAGAGATCTTTGAGTTGTGCCCATGTGGTAGCATTGGTTACATTATCATTGAACCATTCAAGAGATGTATCAGTTAACAATGATCCGAATAGGGATCGTTGTCTGCTATCATAGCTGCGTCGTGCATCATTATCAGCAGGTCTTTGACCTAATGAGAAAAGAATTTTGTTTTCAACTGAATTCCAAAAAGCCGTAGCATTTTGGTTCGGATCGTTTCCCGAAAATGTCATTAAAGACAAATTGGGATGGGATATTGGGGTATCAGCCATTTTATTTTTAGTTTAAAACTTTAAAAAGAAAGATAGAAAAGTTTATAAATTTGTTTAGAAAACTTAAATTTCCGATTTGGAAATTTATTACTTCTCTTTATTTGTAAGAGAAATTTCAACAATTCTCCAGTTTGAGAATTGGAATCTTTGCTGCTTATCTCTTTTTGAGACTTTAGCAATTTTTGCGAATTTTTAGAAGGTGAGCCTCACTGGTCGCACCAATTTATTACGCTAGCAACACTATGTGCGCCGGACAAAACGCTTGCTAGGAATAAAGGGTCCTTTCTACTTTCTATCTTAGAAAGTAAATCTAAAATTCGCTGAGAAATATTTTATTAAAAAAAGAAGTTAGTATGAATTTACAGCAAGTTGCCTTTTGACTCAATATCTATTTTAACGGTGAGATTAGAGATATTTTTTAGAGATTGGTTGGGGTGGTAGAAGAGAGTGGTGTTGGTGTTAGAAGAGATATTGTTGGAATGAATTCCCGTAGTTTTGAGCTTCTATTTATACTCAGATTGGGAAATCACGCCACTTTTCGTATCAAATGAGAAGTTTCTTTTAACTTCGTATTCTTTATTCGTACATTCGTATTTTACGAGAAGAAGGTTTCGTATGCTCGTATTTTACGAGAGGAATCGTTAATATTCGTATTGAATGAGAATAGTCGTTTCAATTCTCAATGCTTAAAGCGTTATACGAATTATTCCAATAGCATTTCCCTTCCTTTTGCAAGGGAATAAAAACATATTTCTTTTGGTGGTGGCGGCGGCGTCACATTTTGTGAACGCAATAAAATAATTCATGTTTCTGTTTCTATTTGAAATCAGAACAGTAAGCATTTTCTCCATACACTTGATGTATGGAATTGTATGAATAGCATTTTCGGTGTATGGAGGTCATCCCGATTAGTTAGTAGAAAAATACCAAGTGTTATATGTTGTGGCCGTACTTGGAGAAACAAGTGGATTTTTCCCACCGTACCCCAATGTGTGGCTTTGGTATTCCCATGGTACCGACATCTGTTGTAGTTCCCCCCGTTCGAGTACCGGCGGCCTACTCAGCTAGTCTCAATAGTTTTCAAATGTAATCCATTATAATCGATTAAAAATAGATTATAATCCCAATATTTTTAATCAGTGTAATCCATTATAGTCATAATAATGGACTCTTTTAGAGGTTATTAATCAAAATTTCCTGTTTAATGCAGTTGCTAAGTTTTACGTTTTATAAACTTGTACTCTTCACATAATATTTTTTTACTTTCAAATTTTCTCTACTCTTTCAATTTGGCAGTTAAACATTTTGTTCAATTGTTTTTCACCATCGGCCACGTTGACTGTCGCTATTCGCCCACAGACCTCCTCTCTCATAATCAGGTAAAAGTAAGGGGGCGGGAGATCAATGGTTGAACGGGGAGGCGTTGTATTTATTGGTTAAAAGGGCGATGGTTGAACGGGAATGGGGGCGGGGGGGTTGACTCAACATAAACCCTTTCCCCAGTTTACTCCCTCCAAAGTTTGTCCCTCTCCCTCAGTTCCCCCTCCCCAGTTTACCCTCGCCACCCCCTTCCCCAGTACTGAACGTGGGTGTGGGGGGATTTGTTAAAAATATTTCGTGGGGTTTAAATGGGGGATACAGAGGTGTAGTTTACGTTGAGTGCCCCCGTTCAATGTAGCCCCCACTCTCAGTTCCGCCCTCTCCAGTTTGCCCCCCTCAGTTCTCCCTCTTCAGTTTAGCTCCTCCCCCACATCCCCTAGTTTACTAACCGTTGGCGGGGGGGGGGTTGTTAAAAAATTAGGGGCCGCGGGTTAAAATGGGGAAAAGAGGTGGAGTTCATGTTGAGTAGCCCCCCTGTTCAGTAGCGTGAGTAGCTCCATGATCAATAGTAAAAAATTTGGGTCACCAACTCTACCACGGAGTCTAGCACCAGGAAAAAAAGGAAAAATAAAAAGAAAATTGTAAAATAAAACCCCTGTGTATTTCTATTTTTATTTACTTTTTCATGCATGGTTTTTTGTTGATGTCTGCAGAATAGTTAGTTATAAAATAAAATTGTACAAAGTTCTCGGCCAAGCGTTTTCAAGAGTTTAATTAGCAGTAAATTTTTTCGGCCGAAAAAAAAATCGATTTTCAAGGATTTTGTTGCCTAAAAAATTGACTGTAATCGATTATAATTGATTTTTGAGTATTGACAATAATCAATAATGATAATCTCCAGACATCACTTTTTCATGGTTGGATGGGTCATGAAAATCGATCATATATCGGTTAAGTTTTTTTCCGATATAATCCTTTATAAAAGTTATTTCCCATAAAGGTTATTTCCCAGTGAGGGTAACTAGGATTAAGTTGACAAACGACAATAGATCAAATTGAATTCGCGCTGACACATTTCACACACCCACACATACACACACACTCTCTCTCTCTCTCTCTCTTTCTCTCTCTCTCTCTCTCTCTATCTCTCTCTCTCTCTCACATATGCACCACACACACGCACACACTCACACACGTATAGACGAACTAGATATTTATAATGGTGTAGATATGATTTCAGGTACTGGATCCGATCGAAGAGAGTAGTAAGTTCCTTCTGGTTGTTCTTCTATGAAAAAAAAAATCTGCGATTCACAAATAGGATCAAACAAGTTTTCTAAGCCCATCTAATCCTAATGATATAGAGTCTTACTTATTTTCTGGCGCAATTGATATTACTGCAATCAAGGCAAAAAATTGCTGTTATGTATGTTTTTCAGGACCTAAAGTGGACTCAAGACAGTCTCGAAGAGCCTCGGCTCCTCCGCCGCAGAAGTCGAATGCGGACAAGGTATCTGACAAGAACAGATCTTCGGATGGGAGTGCACCGAAGACGAGAGTAAGAAACACATATTTTGGTTCCCACCTGGTCACTGAAATTGACTGCACGGAAAGGTTGAATAGGTTGGAGTTTTTCCCACCGATTTCAGGTACCTCACCAAAAACTTTAAGGAGTCAATCGTGGATTTATGTTCAAAACTTATCAGTCGTGAGTTCCAAAAAAATCGCTTAAGTTATCCCAATGTTGATAAATCCTTCTCTGAATATTTTTGGTTATAAAACAAATTTAGAGCTTCTGGTTGAATTGTCATATCTGGCCATTACCCCAATTAATAGACGAAATTTTTGTTTTTTAAAATTAATGATTATGTTATTAACTAGTTTTCTAACTCTTATAAGCACTATTGCAACCACCCCTCCCCGAACACCCATAAAAACAAAACTCGAAAAAATGTAGCATTTAAAATTGAATGTAAATTGAATATTTACGCACAACCGGATTTCGATTGGATGAAGTTGCAGCAATTGTCTATTTTGACAAGCTGTCGCCTCACGGTTTTCTATGTCTTTCAGCCGAAGAGATTCAAGAAACGATCAGCATCGGCTAGCAAGGCGAGGAAGGGATCGGGTGCAGAGGGGGCGGGGCAAGGGGTGGATGGGGGTGATGATGGTACCAATGCACATGAAAGATCCGTGTCTGCTCCTCCTCTCTTCTCAGACGTGGCCAAACGACTCATGTTCGCCAAAAGAAGGTACAATTTGATGGTCTCCAGCGGATTGGTTAACTTGTACTAACTAACTAACAAGAAATCGTATGGCAGGAGCGTAAGAACAATTCTCCGCCATGATCTAAAAAGATCATGCGCTCGTCCTTGTCCTCTTTGGTAAAAAATGGTTTTAGGAAACTCAAATCTTGAAAATTGCGAACTAGTTAAAAGGTTAAGACGTGTTCACTAATTCGTCACCGAAACATGACGCTCCTTTCAATGAGCTCTCGTTCTTGTTTGCTTTCTCTTTTGCATGTTTCTTGACTATAAAGTAATCTTTTTGGAACTGGTGTGGTTGTTGTTTTTACTATCAGGTACTCTACGATGCGGCTGAAGACGGCGGTGGCGAGGAAGATGCGCAGTCTCATGATGGCAGAGAAGAGGAACATGGAGGAGGAAGACAACAGGTACACGCGCACAAACAAAGGGCACGACGGAACCGACTTCGAAAAGGTCAAGAGGGGTCAATTTTTATGACTATAGTCAATTGCAACCTTTGATATATTTTAGATTTATTTTTCGAAGTTTGAAAAAAAATCAAAAAACGTTTTACTAGCTCCGTAACATAATAGTATAATGTACTAGCTCCGTATAATGGTAAGCATGTTCACAGCGTATCATGATCACCAGAAGTGTTCACGTAAAAGCCTTCTTCTTTATTTGAACATGGAATACCCGTTTAAGCCTAATATCCGAGCGATTGACGTGGGGGACTTGCTCCTGTCTGAGACGAGTGAGAGTGAGTACGGGGGAGGACTAAAAGCGAGAGACTACAGGGGAGGGAGCAAAGGAACATCAGATCCCAGTTAGTTGGTCTAATTCTCCCTTTAAGCCACAATAGTTTTCTTTTTTTTATCAACAGGGAGTCTTTTTCAGTAACTCAAAATCTTGGTGCCGGTCAATCAATCATTTTTTTCAACGCGCGCTCACCTTTCAAAGTTATGAGAATATATTGATGCCAAAGGCGCCGTTAGAAAAATTTTAAGGTTGATCGATCATAAATGGATACTGGTATTTAATGTGTTGAATCCTTAAGAGCAAAAGCCTACTCCAAGTATCCAGCTCCTGCTTTATGAGATCTTTTGACTAATATATGTCAAAATTATTGAACACATCAAAAGTTCACATGCTAAAACCTTTCAGAACCCATCAACCGCAACCTTTTCTTGTTCCAGGCGATACCCTGACAGCACTCCGTGTGTTGAATAGAGAAAGGGGTTCTTCTGTGTTGAGTAGCAATGGAGTGTCAGTGGAGTTGGACCAGTTCATCGGACCCAGAGACTGCGAGGACATCCTCCAGAGGACCATCAACAAAATCAAAAGTGAAGGATACTAGAGCAAATTTACTATCCCTCGAATCTCTGACACCGATGTCACCCAAATTTTATGACATCTGTTTGGCTTTTCTAATAATGACATCCATTAAGTTTTACATTAAAATTGTGAGATCCGTTAGGTTTCTCTCCAAAAAAATGGCGTTTTGATGGTCATGGGCGTCCTGGTTTAGGGATCATTTGGTGGTTTTTTATCAGGAATTCGGGACTTTTAGGAACGTGATAATGACACTTGAGGCAAATTCTGCAAGCCAGTTTCTGTCTCCGAAGTTTTTGAAGATGAGTTACACATTGTTTTTTCTCACCTTGGGTTTTACGGTACTTTCTATAGTACCTTCTGCTATAGCGTTAAAAAAAACAAGCGAATAAAAAAAGCTGCTAGCTTGTAAAAAGAACTAGCTTGTGAAAACTTTTGGTCGAAACCTGATAAACGTAGAAAATTACCTTTTGTGAATAGAAACGCGGGCAAAGATGGATTTTCACAGGTTTTCGAGAGGCTCAAAAATTCAATTTTGTTCGATTGAAAAGAAATCATATGTGTTCGATTGAAACTATCGCTTGTATCTATCATTGTTGCAGACACTGGTTTGTGTGGGAAGATAGCAGACATGAAATCGAGAGAGGGACACATGATGAACTTGAGAAGGGCAGTGGTGAAGCCTCACTCCACTGAGACGACAACAGGAGGCAGCAACCCCTTCAACAGGTACCAGGAGCTGGAGCGACTCAACCACTTCCTTGGTGAGAGTCCTCGCTTGTGACTGTTTCATAGTCTAGTAGCTACAATTAGTACGAGCTATGGTTCTGCGGAAGGTTTAAATAACATGCGTTTTGAAAGTTTTCAATTCAAGCCCGGAACTTGTATCCAATCTTGTAGTGCTTTATACACTGTAGTCATGTAAAAGAATCAGTATAAAGTCAGAAATGTTTCAAAAGAAGAAAGCTTACTATAAAAATGAAATGAATTAGTCGCATACTATTGAAAAAGCAAAAAGATTCCCCCAGTTTCCAAGTTGTCTTTTTGTAAAAATAATTTTTTTTTGCAGAGCAACTGATGGACAAGATGAGAGACTGTCCGATAGAGGATGAGAACAAGATCAACATAGTGGAGATCACAGACCAGATTGTGAGGTATCTCTCCGAGGAGGAGTTCCACATGTTCCGCTTCTGCCTCGGACTCCAAATCGACCATGCAGTGCCTCCCAAACTCGAGGAACACACCAGACTCTTTTCCAGATTACTCCTTGTTTCAGCTAGGCGTATTATAGCGAAGGAAATGGATGAATTTGAAATCAGACAACCATTTTCAAAAATGAAAAATTTCTCAACAGGGCGTGTTTGTCATTCTGATTTGATTTTGGGTAAAATATTATCTTTTCTAAATTACCCTTTCTATGGCAGGTACAACACGTGTTGTTTCAATCAGTAATCAATCAGAAACAAGAAACTCACGTTTTAGGATTTAATTAGACAAAAATGAATAACAACATTAATGCAATCTTGAAAGGGCGAGCCCTGGAAAAAAGTCTTGCAGGAACACCCATTGGTGATCAGATTGAAAACGTTCATAACTGACTACAAATCAGGGCAGAATTCAATTAGTAAACTAAGTGCCTCAATATATGGGACTTATTGTTCTGACAACTCTTGGAGTGGGCACGAATTATGACACGAGTTTGGTTTCTTTTCTCGTGAAATCAAGTATTTCAAGTAATTCAATCATCTCCCAATTTGATTTAAGTTTTTTTTTGCCTTGTAGGTTATAATTAACGAATTCTGTAATGTGTAAGCCAAACCATTCTAATCAACAAAACAAAGAGAAATTTCAAAAAAAAACGAATCTTTTGAAACAAAAATTGTTGAACATTTCACCATTTCATCTGACTGTTTCTGAACAGAAAATTGTTTTTCTTTCTCTCAACTGATGTTAGTCGAAATGTACCCGGTTGAATTGTGCCCTAACATCAGTGCTGAAGAAGATCTTCACCTTCTTCCGCAAAGTGGAGAACCAGTCGGAAATTGACGACATCTACTTGACAGAGAAAAAAAGGAATCTCCAGCAGACCGAATTGGACCAGGGGAGCCATCGCCAATAAAACTGCCCTTTCGATTTTGGTGCATTCGTTGCCTTAAAGCTAAAAGCATAACTGGCTCCTAAAAATTGCAATTCCTAAAACAATGCAATTTTATCTCCCCTCCCCCCCCCCCCCCCCCCATCGCTATCAAAAATGCCCCAATAGCCTAATTAAAATCATAGAAACATTAAAGTTTAGATAGCGTCAGTGTCTTCTTGCCTATGCTACGTTAACAAAACCTAGCTTTTTAAACGACATAAATACTAACGACCCAAATACTGAATGGCTCGCCCCTGCCTGAATCAGATAGCACACGAGTGCCTGAGCTTCATCAAGGCCAATTTCGGTTTCTTCAAGCACGGCCAGCTGAAGCCACGAGTGCTGTGTGAAATGATGTCAGACCCTGATTTGATGAGTGAGGGCATGCGAAGTTTCACTCATCGCTACACATTCAGCGAGGCAAATTTCCTGTTACTTTGCTTTCGTTTCGTTGTTATTTTTTACTATGCTTTGGTTACTTTGTTAATTGAAAGGCTCTCTTTTCTCATGGATCTTGTTAAGTCGAGACAAACTTGCATAAAAGGAAAACGCCGTGCAAAATAGAATTCCATACTTTTAAAAAAATTCTCACGTTTGGTAAAAGAAATCGAAAAATTTTATTCTTAATAATTTCTGTTTCAGGAAGAAATGAGCGACTGTAAATGAGAACGAACAAAAATAAAATTAAAAGTGCTAAACGGTTGCTGTGCAATTAGCACAGAATGTTCCGACCATGATTATATGTGCTCATTTTTTAAACATAAATATTGATTACATAAAAGTGCCATTTTACTGTAAAAAACAATATAAAAGGCAGCGAGTGAGGGCCAAAAGCTCAAAAGTGAAGGAAATTTATGCACTAACTTATTAGGCGTTTGTTCTTTAAACACATAATGACCTGGTACTAATCGTTTGTTCTCAACTATAAAATCAAACCAGTTCGGGACGCCAGCGATGTTCTGGGATCTGAAAAGAGCAGGGATAACGAAGACTTGCACCCGAATGATGCTGCAAATCGGGAGAGCAAAGGCTTGACAGTCGCGAAAAAATTGCTATAATTTTTTTTCAGGGGTCATTGGAAAGGTTGCGCTGGCAATCTATTTTTTCGACTGATTTTTAAACTGAATCAAATCAAAAGAGAAGGTTTTGATTATTGCGACTGTCAATGAAGATGGTGAATGGGAAGAGGGAGGAGAGGGCGTGTCTCAACTGAAGAGTGAATTGGAGTTCGGATCCACTGTGGTAGACAGTGTGATAGAGACACAGGAGGACTCACAAGGCAAGAAATGAAATCACTCTCTAGTGCAGTTGCAATTCAATTGTGACGTTGATCAAACTGATGCCACTTTTTATTTGAACTTTATAGGAAAAAACCTGAATTGCATGCTAAAAATTAAAAAAAAAACGGACAAATTTCTTTTATCAGAGCAACTTTTTCAACAAACATATTAATTAATTCATTGGTAAATCTGAAGGACGCCTGTCAAAACGAATGAAACACTCAGTATTTTCCAAAGGACAAAAACAAAACAACTTTTGGAAAATTAACATTGATTTATTTTTCCCTGAAACTCGATTTCTTTTTACTTCAGACTCAAGTGAGGTGATTCTGTTCGACGAGACTGCGGCTAAGCGCAAGGAGATGTTGAAAAAGTACAAGACTCCCAAGATCATCCGCAAACTCAAGGACAAAGTAGCACCAAGGGAACAATGGCACAAAGAACTGGAGTTAGTTTCTAAATACCATTCATAATCAAAATGTCTTGCTGTCAGAATTTGAAACAGTTGAGCAAAAAACAGTTGAGAAAAACTTTAATTTCAAGAAAATCGAGAACATGTAAAATTTAGTTACATAGAAATTTCTTTGACCAGAAAGCGCAGTATTTTTGTGAAAAAAATTCAAAGCGAAATTATGGCAAAACCAGAAAATTTTTTAGTTTTTCGAGCCAAGAACTAGAGGCCATTTGACAATTTAACTCACAATTTGTGCTTAGTAAAGTCAAAAAATAAAAGTTTGATCGTTTAATTTCAGAGCGCTGAAAATAAACTTGGAGCTTATTAATTGAAGAAACCTATGTAATTAATGTTTCAACCACAATTGACTTTTTGATGTTTTACTTGATGACAAGGCCTAATGGTTGAGGGCGCAGTAGTGTACCGCACTTGGGGTGATGTTCTTGCCTTCCTTAGTAATTGGGGTGGGTTGGCCTCTGTACCTAACTCTTGGGGGTTGGGTGTAACTCCGTACCTCATTCTGGGGACAGAGTGGTTACTCCGAACCTCACTTAACCAACATCTGTTCCTACTGAAAGGGGAGGGCTACCTTGGTTCAGAAGCCTTTGTTTGAAATCTTTTGTAATTTTATTTTGAAGTTAACTTTTTTTTTGTTTTCACACTCTTGTTAAGTCAATGTTTTAAAATTAGTAACGAGCCTGCAAGTTTTCAGTAACGAGCCTGCTCCAGTTGTTTTGAATTGTCTGTTATACTTAACGAGAGTGAAGGCTTGAATAGAGTTTTTTTCGTTAAACATGCAGGATGGCATGCAGTTAACGGACCTTTGTCTTCGTTATCTCTGGGTATATGGGGTAGTGGCCATTAGTTTTTGAAGCCTTCTGTTTTGACAACAATCGTAGTGAAGACGTCCTATGTCATTTTCCCACGTCCCACAAGTTTCAATAGAAGAGCTTATTTGACAATCTGATCGAGTCTCTCCCACATACAGTCAAAAAGAAAAGCAGAGTAAGTTTGAAGAGCCATTTCATTGAATTGTTCAGCTTTTTTTGTTTCAAAAATTTTTAGTCTAGCGTGAGCGGTTTCTTTCGCAGTTGTTGTCAAGTGCCAAAAAACAGAAGCCTTGTAATTAGGTGTTCCCTGTTTTCCGTTTTCTTTGCTTCCAGTTTTCAGTAATAGTTTTATTTTGATTTTCACGTGGTGAGCCATGTGTTTGTCTCTGATTTAAATGAAGTGCTGACCGACGTTGAAATTAGCTGAGCGAGCTCCAAGTACAGCTGTTGTATATCGAGTTTAGGTATATTGATCTTATTTATCGGCACAACAATTGTGAGGCGGCCTATGTGAAGACGTGTAACTGATAACTTTTTTTAGAAGTAGATTTCAAACTGAAACTTATTGTTGTTCGATGGAAGACGAAGATAAATATCTGTCAATCTAATTTCAATATTTCTAACGTTTAATTTTTTCAAGTAGGTAGTCCCATGCATAGCCTTCTTTCCAGAAATGGGATATGGGATAATCTTCAATAATATTACTAATGGGACGCTGATACTAAGAGGTTCGTATAAACGACTAGGTTCTAATAGGCGATCAATGACAGGAGTTTCCGTATATTGTACTGATTTCCTGCAGTGTCCAACTTAGACAACCTTTGCTGCTTGAAGGCGTCTGAGTTTTTTTGCATAAAACAAAAGATACAATAGTTCAATTCCTTTGTGTCAGGTTGATCTACTACATCAATTTGGACGGTTGATTGACTGGAAACAAACATCGTCAGGTTGAATTCACCTTTTGAAAACATAGATTTAAATCTTTTTGAGGACATAATTGCTGTGTTTTTCCTAACGAGCGCACAAATTTGTCCACGTAGTTAGTCGCCTAATTTCCTCCTCGATGCGAAATCTTTAGCAGTTTGCTAATGTAGTTTCTGATGGCGATCACCTCGCCCAAAAACCTAGCCGTGTATATTGATACAATTTTTTGGCTGTCACTGTTGTCCATTGAAAACGAAGAACGGCTGAATGCTTTTCTATTATAGCAACCTGCATGAACATGGATTCCACGAATGCTGTAACAGCAATAGCGGTTTCGCGAAACCATAGCAGCAAATCAACCAAATTGATGATAAGGCCAAGTTAGCAGCTAGCATATTAATGTTGTGCGAGCTTCTTTGGAAAATTGATGCTGCTGTGAACACTGATCGAAACTTGCCCTGCTTGTTTGCATTTGAGACAATATGATAGGGAAATTACCATAATCATTTGGTGGTGGCTGGCTTAAAACTAAACATTTTTTGTAGTTTTTCTCAATGTCTGTTGAGAAGTGGGTCTTTCTCAATACTTTCTGGAGGCTTAGAACTTGTAAGTGCTGTAGCTGAGTTTTAATTGTAGGGTAAAATTACCTTATCTTTTCACAAATGGCCAGTTTTGTAACGATCACCCGTAAGTCGTATGGTTGCATGAAAATTTTTTAGGCCTGTTTTGCAATAACAGAAAACAAAATATGGTTCTCGCCTTTGGTTCCCGTAGCATTGACAGCCCTAAAAATGTAACGAAGTCGAAAATGGTCGTTCGCCATTCAGGGTAGCTTTCTCTGATAAAAAATGTATTGCTATTCGGAACAAACATAAATTCCTCGTTATTCTTCTACGGCTGCTTTTTGATTGGCACGGTAACAGTCCAAACTAGGAGAATTCTTTGCGCAAAAGATGAATTTTGCAGCCCGTGAAACAAGTCGTACACAATGATGTATTGCACTGCGTTGATGGCTATAGAAAATTGAACACTGTTGCTTGGTAATGAGAACAAAGTGGGCTTAATAGTGTAGTGGGAAATCAACATGCTGTAGATAAGTATGGTTTTACAGTGTTGGTTAAAGTCTGTAACAAGAGCGTCATTGAAATGCCAGTCTTTAAGGGAGTCAACATAGTTCAAGGGGGACAAAATGTACTGCAAATGTAAGGCCCTACGTCCAAACGGACCAGATTTGCGTTCATTGATGAGTCACCAGTCGCTTTCGCTGCAAAGAGGGTGTTTGTTTTCTCGGAGCATTAAGTTTTTCTGCTGCTAAGGTTGAGGCGTTTGATATTTTGCTGGGTATATCTAAAACTGCCTAAATCGACTAGTGTTATTTGGGAACAAATAGTTTGATTGGCAGCAAATGCAGTTGATTTTTTACTTTCGACGGTAACGACAGTGCACTTTTTCTAGAAGTTTTCGTTCCTATGGATGGTTTTTCCAGCGATTCACAGAGCGGGGCTTGGCTGTTCATGACAATAATTGCTTGCGCCCGATTGAAGGTATGATCATGAGACAATGAATGATAATTGCGATTGCAATGCGGCAAGAATGATATTACAAGAACTTTCTTGATGAGACAGTTATAGAAAAAAAATTTATCCTTTTTATATTTTTTTGATTTATTGAAAAAATTGTTCGTTAATCCTAATGATTCAGAGGTTCTTGCCTGCTCCGTGAAAATTGTGATCAAAAGGTTTGATTTTTTACTGATATTTCTGTTTTTAGCGAGTTGAAGAAACTGTTGTTCAGTCTTTTTTTCCAGTGAGCTGGATGTCGATCTTGATTTTTTGCCTACTAAGAACTGCTGTTATATGGCGAGGGCGTGGTCTTTTTATGAGTTATGATGTTTTGTCAAAAATCACAGAAGCGTTCCTGTCCATCCGTTCACCATGGAAAATCATTGAGTCTGTGATGGGCTTTGTTTTTGTCAATCAGTTGTTAACTCTACTTCATTTTCAACGAAAATTTTAATTTATCCGTTGTTATTGTCAGCAAACATCTTGACTTTAGACTTTAGGGGTCAGGATTAAATCCATGAGCACTTAAACTTAAAAACCGTTTTTTGAGAAAAGCAGCTCAGCTGATTAGAACCATAAAGGGTTCCACTTGGAAAATGAGGTGTTTTACACGAAACTAGTTTTTTATTTAAGAGGCTAAACATGTTAAGGATTTCCAATTTTTTGGTCGAGTTCCGGTGAAGCTAAATCGTAAAACCCTAAGGCTGCACAGGAATCCCGATATGGCTTTTCTGACCAATAATACTACCGGTGTTTGTAGGTAGCTCATTCTTCGTTATTTGTGATACCTTGATTGTTGTGAACGGCATATCTGAACATGCTAAACCATTCATTTCATTTTAGGAGTTCTCCGTCAAACTTCTAGATTCGGATCTCCGGCATTTTAACCGAGCGATGATGTCGATAGGGGTTTTGATTTAAAGGTAAATTTCCTGCAGATTGGGTAATAGAACCAATGTTCCCAGTGACACTAGATGAAGGCATTTGTTTTGCACTGTATTGTTTGATGAAACAAAGTGCTACTGGGCGCTAACGTGTGCGAGTTTGTTATTGAACGTAAATTTATTGCTGGTTGTGTTGTTGCTTTGTGGTAGTGATGAATTTTGCTGATTGGTTTTACGAGCAAAACTGAATGCATTTACAGTTGGTGACCAGGAAGGTTGCCGGATGAAACTATTTGGCTGAACACCTGCCGAGCCAATTTTGGTCGACAAATCACGTAGCAAGTTTTCCCTTAGTGTGCGCATTTTACACTGGCTCGTTCATATTCTGATATTGATAAGTCTTTGATGGACATTAATTTGACCTTTTCTTTTGAAAAAACCGAATGGCCCTTAAAAACTGTAATCAGTCCCGGATATTTGTTAGTGCGACAGAAAGATGACGGCTACTGATTTGTAGGAAGTGAAGTTGAAATAAGGAAACTCTTTCCTGCATTAGAATTTTTTGAAATCCGGTCGAATGGCTGGTGATAATCAGACCTCGAACGCAGGAGCAGTCAAGTTGCTGTATCTGGCAAAAAGAACTGATGGAGACGCGTAATCGTGCTTTGAGTGGATCTGAATTCCTGCCTACTCTGATTCGTATCAAGTTCAAAGGTTGATTGAATGATGGCTGCGCTTTCAAAGAGGTATGAGGTTTTGAAGCTACACATCCATTCCAAGTGGTTGAGCTTCTACTGTTTGTTCTATGTTTTTTGTCGTTGAGAACGCTTTTCATGATGTTTAGTTTTAATTGCAAAAAAAATCTGCCTCATCAGCTTGTCCACTAACAAGTGAAAAATCCGATTGAGTGATAACATCGACGTTTCCATTTGACTGAATAGTATGGTGAAAACTTTGTAAATTTGAGCTACAAGCTAATGTTCAAAGTATTCATTTATTTTTTGATGTCGTCTCTTAGTTTTAACAAACTTTGATTCTTAGGTTAAATTGATTAACTGTTGTGGCAACTAGCCGGTTTTTACCACATTTTGTGCTTAATTACGGATTTTCGATGAAGCGTTCGGAGGTTGTTGAAGGATGTAGGAAAGCTACGAAAGGTAATTTGAAGGTGAAAAAGAGTTCAATTGGAAGAGCACTGTATGATATTGTGAAGTACAGGTTAGAAAGTAAGGCACCCTATTACTTCAACCTGGTCACTTAAAAATCAAATCTGAACCCTTGACGAAGTCATAAGTGCATTTAAAACACAACTTGTTCCGTTTTGTTTGTTGATTTCTTCATTTCTTGGAGTTCTTGGGGGGTTACTGTTCTTCCGTGATGAAATGCTGCATCAAAGTATTGTTGATTGCTCTGCCTCTTCTGAGTTCTATGGCTGTACGTTGACGAACAGCGCGATTTCGCTTGACAATATCAGGGTTTTTTTTTCAACTTTTCGAGGTTTTTAACGATATGCACAGCTTCTGTTCTCTTAGACTTTTGCCTTTTTTTACAACTGAGAAAACATCACTGTTGCAGCATATCACTCATTTGAATTAATTTAAAAACATTTTTAGCGTTTGCCGAACTTCTGTTCCTGATTTTGTAGTGACTTTATTGCTACGATGTTTGGTTGCGAGTTTTTGATGATGTCATGCCCGAAATGATTTCCACTGTTTTAATCAAAGCGCGACTGGGAAAAGACGTCGTTATTTTCTTTTTTCGTATTGATCAAATTGTCGTTTCCTCAAAGTCAGGCAATTGCAGTGACTCGGTTCTTTAATTCATGTTGTTATTGTCTCTGTCGTAATATCTGGAAAGCCCGATGTGGAGAAGGATGTCTAAGAGTCAAAAGGGAGTCGTAGGAAACGTTCTTAGGGATGTTTCACCGAACCCGATTGAGTAATAACTTATTTGTTTTTTAATATGGAGTGTATTTTTAGTTAAAACATTAAGTTTTTTGGGGTATTTTTAGTTAAAACATTAAGTTAAGTTTAAAGCTCAGAGGCCAAGAAATTGTTTATTTTGCGAAAAAAATAGCAGAAAAATTAGGAACAAAGAATAAATCAGAAAACATGTAGGCACAGAAGTTCAATGATAATAGCTTTGCATAAGGAAAACGCGGGATAAGGTTTATACTCACAATCCTTAAATTGCTTGCTCCAAATTTTTACTAGAAACTAATATGGCAAGTCTCACAAACAGTGAAAAAACAATAAGGTGTGCACAAAATTTACAAATGGTTACATTTAAATGCCAGAATAATAATGATCACAATATTGACACGAAAGCTTAGAGAACTTTTTAAATCAGATTTTTTAGTCAAGAACACTTGTTTCTTCGCAACAAAAAAAACGTGAAGTTTGTTCCATTCTTTTCCTTGTGTGGTTGGAACAGTCAGAATGTAGAGTGTAAGAACTGCACTATTCTACAACTTCTTACCAACACAGTGCAGTAAAGCTTTTTTTCAGAATTGTCCCATTTCCAAACAAAGTTGGCTGTTTTGATTTCAAATGTAAGTGTAGTAGAAAATAATCCAAAGTTTCTACATCCGCAAAACTTTTCACTGGATTCGAAATTTCTAGCTTGATGTTAAAGTTGGTTTTGTTTTTAATAGCCCATACTGAGGAAAACCAAATATTTGAAAGCTATGATATCTTTACTCAACCCTTTGAAAAACTAACTAAAAAACTATTTTTGTTCTAGAAATCTGAAATCATTCAGAAGTGCAAAACCTATGGATAATACTTATAAAAGGCTACCATTATGTTGTTGCAAAATGAAAATGAGAACGACTTCTCCCTTCAATAACTTTTTCGATTTATATCGGATTAACTTTGAAAGCTGTCAAAAATTGTTCCATGAAAATTAAATTGAGAATAAATTTTAAATTTTTTTTTCAAGATGCAGGTCGAAAGTTGATGTTAACAGTAGAAACAGTCTAATCAAAAATTTTTTCTTATTCAAAGTGTTTGGAACACTACTTTGATTAATGTTCATTAGATGAGTTCTTTTGATTTCCTATTTTTCGTTGGTATTTTAAATCTTGATTCAAATGTTAAGTACGTTTTTACACACCCGACAACAATCAATGCTAAAACTAAACTCTAATTATTATCAACGTCGACAATTCACAAAATAACATTCATCAGGGAGTCCTTAAAATTTTTAGTAGTATGAATCAAAGTTAATTCAAAGTCGTCTGTTTTATTTTCCTCGCGCTGTTTTTGCCACGCACATATGTGCTATCCCGGGTTGATCAAAACTTCTTGTCTTAAAATTTCCATATATGAGAAACTTTTTGTCATAGAGTTCTATACAATTCCATACGTACAGAAAATTGTATGAAATCTGTTTGATAAGCATTTTTCCTATGTGAAAATTGTTTGACAAATATTTTTCCATAAACCAAAAAGTTCATTTTTTTCTGAAAAGTTTTGGGTTGTGTTCGCAACCTAACGCAAGTGAGAAAGACCTTGGCTTACTCAAAACACCAAAGTTAATTACAATGCATAAAAAACTGAATTTCTGTCTTTTTGTCAAGTCTTTCTGAAAGTAACAAACTTTTAAATGTTGGCAAACAATTTCAACAATTATTTTTAAAGTTTGAATTTAAAAGAATAGGAGTTTTAAGCGTTTTAAAGAAAATTTATCAAGCGAAAAGGAAACAAAATAGCAAAATTGTATCCAGGACTACGTTAGACTCCGGTGGAAAAAAAAACAAACAAAAAAATTTGCAACAATTTCAAACGTTTTTTGTGTCGTCATCAAAAAAATGATAGTCTTACAACTTCCTTATATGGGAGTTGTATGATAAGCAATTTTTTCAAAAAACAAACTAAACCTCGGTTTTTTTTTCATCACCAGACTGTTTTATTAGAATGAAGCAGCCGCAGAAGTTAGTTTATATTTTTTTTCAACCATTTTTCGAGATCTGTATGGCAAGCGTTTTTCCATGCATTTGATGTATGGAATTGTATTATAAGCATTTTCGGTGTATGGAGGTCAACCCGGGATACTGCCAGACCCCTTGTGCTATGGTGTCTGCCAACTCCTTGCTAACATGAGTCACAGGACGCAAATTAAATAGATCCGTTGTTTCAATCACAATGGTCATAAACAAAATCCATCGTGTTCGTTTTTCATTGCATTTCGATCTGATTCGTTCTCGTACTCCATCTGCTGAAATTTTGTTACTTGAACAGTTTCTTTTACTTTTTCAAACTTAGCTGCGGCTGAGGGGTTGGCGTCTAGAATCTGGTGTTGCAAGATTCTAAAATGTAGAAAATGTAATAGAGTTACCTAATAAAACGCCATGTAAAAATTTTAGCTTTCTTAACTTAGAGCTACCTCGAGAAAATCTCAGACTTGTTTTCCTCGACACCGAGAGATTTTTTTGGATTTACTTGGAGTCTAAATCACGAATAGAGGGTCTTCAATATGATAACACACCAGGGGGTTATATGATTTGACCCTCCGCAAGTTTTTTCAGCCTGCCTTCGAGGTCCTCCTTTAGAGCATAAACTGCAGTCGTTAAATTTGCAAAAAAAAATCTTTTTTTTTTCCAAATGCTAATAATATACTCATCGAAATGCAAAATATTTTTAAAATGTATCAATGGAGGTGTCTAACTTATTTTTTTTCGAATAAGAGTCTAGTTTTATCTAGGTGTGCAGTTGATGACTAATACAAATAAAATAATCGGAAAATGCAAATATATATGAATAGTTTGTGCAAGAATCCATTCCAATCCTTCATGACTCAGTGATTTTTCTAAAAATCTTTTTAATATTTAAATGTTTTAGCCGGTTGAGTCTGGGATTGAACTCACCGCCTGATATTGAAAAGATCACGAAACTGGTGGATAGATATTATGTCGAAAACGACACTTTAGCCGACTGTTTCGACTGGCAGAAAGACAAATTGCTGGTGGAAAGAGAACGAAACAAACGAGAGTTGTTCAGACAATTGTGGGAAATGAGAAATCAGATTTATTTGAGAAAAATTGGGATGGACGCTTACTTCAAAGACAATGCCTTCATTGGATATAAAAAGAACTCAGATCTGGCCGATATTATAAGTCCAGAAGTCCAGCAGAGAAACGAATAATCGAGCAGAACTAAAATTGGTTGAGATTAGTAGCTACTCATTAGCTTTGCCTCGGAAATATCAATTGATTTTTATGAAACAGTTCTTTTTTGTTGCTCTTAGATAGGTACTGCATTCTAGAAAATCTTAATTATCGAACTGATAAAGTTTGACAAATTTGAATCTACTTCGAAAATAAAAATCGGTGAACGAGTTTAATTAAAAAAGAAGGCAAATTGATTTTTGAAGCTTACATCTGATCTGAAAATTTTAAAATTAGTTTTCACGGTGGAAAAATAATTGCACTGTTTATTCACGCAGTTTTGCCGCGCAATGCGTAAGCAGCGAGAGACTGAAACTTGTCGTAGTTTTTTTCTGGCTAGACAAGTAAGAGCTCGAGATGCTTCTCAAAGAAACCAGATTTTTAAGGGTCGATTCGATGAACGTCGTTCAGACCCTTATATAGATCGTCGTGATTTTTTTTCCTTTTTGTTGCAGAAAAAGTCCTAAGATTAGTTCAGGCTCAAATTTACTTTTTTACGGTTGAATTTTGATTTCTTTTTATTTTCAGTTTATTTCCTTTGTTAAAAAGAAAGCAAACTCCACTATCGAGCAGCAACGTGACCGAATCTTATTTCGAAACAGGGTTTTCAATAATAGAATTTCCAGAGAAAGTAAAAACTTTACCTACTGGTCCAGTTTTCTCAATTTGGGCTCTTTTTATCAAAAAAAAAATCGAAGACAAATTTTTCTATAATTTCGAAGAGCATCAAGTCCATCTTTTTTAAAATTGAAACTGGAATATTGAAACTTTTTCAAATACAAGTCATTTTTTTTGTTTACTTGCGTTCACTGACTCTTTATCAACCCTCTGTTGGCTATGTTTTACTTTTTCTTTGTTTGTTCCTGATTTGTTCCTGATTTAAAATAAGTGTAAAACAAAAAAAAGCTTGAATTATGTAGGTCGAGATAATTTTTTGTTGCCCTTGAAAAAACTGATCGACCTTGAAGCTAAATTTCAATACAAAGATTTCCCGGCGGAATAAAACCACTTTACCCATTGATTCGGTTTTCTTCAAATCTAATAGTTTTATGAAGAAAACGCCTATTATAATCAGTTTTTGAAATTCAAAGAGTTTGAACCTGAATTTTATATATCTTTTGGACGTCGAAAGTTGAAGTTTCAGCACCTTAAAATCATTTTTTATTCTATATCATTAAGTTCTATGACGTTTTTTCAACCTTGTGTTGGCTATGCTTATTTTTACGAGTCGATGAACGTAGTTCAAACTCTTATATAGGTCATGCTGTTTTTTTCTTTTTTTTCAGGAAAAGTTAATGCTCTAGTAACAAAAAAAAGTGCTTTTATACTTGTATATGCTCATATGAATGCTCTAAGATTTATATATATTTTTGGAGTTAATTTGAAGTTCATTTGCTAGAAGGTAGGCAAAGTGCACTCTGCCTTTATGAAAGCTGAAATTGGCGGGTACAACATAATCATTTTCTAGTTTAGAAAGTGAAATTTATTTTTAAATTTCCCAGCAGAGTAAATACATTTCCTGATACTCAAAACTTCTGATTGAGTTAATTTATCAAAAAAGTGCTAATTACAAATTGCTCTGAAAGCCAAACGTTTTTGTTTGAAATTTAAAATTTTTCCAATAAAGAAGTCAATTATTTTGTGCTTCCTTGCGTTCATTGACTCTTTTCCAACTGTCTGTTGGCTATGTTTGAGATCCACCGGATTGAAAATACGTAAGCCTAAAAGATATACCATCTTTTCAAAAATCTACCCACGGGCAGAGCATTTTACTGATTGTTTCGAAATTAATATCAAAGATTATTTGCATCCAGGGCCATTCTATTTTGAACAAAACTAGTCAAGAAGTACAAACTCTGCGAAGACTGAACCGGGACAAAGTTTGTTTTTGAGTTTTCGGAATTGTATCTCATGTGAAAAAAGGCGTTTCAATAAAGTGTCGAAAATCGAAGGGGACCAATTGCAAAAAGCGAGGTTGATTAGTCTAATTTTAGTTTAAAAAAAAACAATTAACTTTGTCTCCTCAACCTCATTGACATCGGTGCCGCATGAGAAATGTCTTTATAAAGCGCCAGAAGGTAAAATTGCCCATAGAGACAACAGTTTTTTTGCTTTAATTAATTTGAGAATTCTGCAAGACCTAGGATTCGCTTGATTGTATTGCCGGACACTCCAAATTCTATGATCGACCTGAACTCTACTACAACAAATAAACGTTTTGTGATTAGTCAATAAACGTTTGAATCTACACAAAAAACTTTTAGCAATCGTATGAGTAAAAAAGAGTTTCATAGAGTTTCATGATGTAGTAGATTTTATAACTTTCTAATCCAAATATTGTGCCCGAATTGGAGACATAGACGACAGTGATAGAGGTGAAATCCAGGTGAAAATCAAACCTGGTGCTCAAATATATTTTTTTGCTAATTTGAAAATACAAAATGCACTATCCGCGACTGTATTATTTTGCTTCTTGAAAACGCTCTGCTCATTTTCCATTTAATTTTTATCACGAAAAACAATAAAAACAGCAAATTTGTCCGATAGACGCATGATAAATGAAAATTTTTATAGACCGGAAAAAGCAGAATTTTATTATAAACTTGCTCTATACAGTAGGAAAATTCTTCGCGCCCTGGCTGCCAATTCAAAAGCCAAAAATGAAGAAAACTCAAAAATTTGGCCAATGAGAGTGTAGTCAAACCAGTGCAGTCCAAAAGAGCTACCATAGCATGGGAAATCATAAGGCCGAAAAAGATATACGGGGATTTGAAACTTTGTTTTGATTGAAAAAATCTCTAAGTTGATATTTGACAAAAATTATTCATCGATCAACACCAAGCAAGAGCTGTTTAACATGTGTTTTTTTATTTCAAGGGTAAAAATTTTTTTCTTACCCTTCCAAAATTCAAAGGAGACAAAAAAACAACAATCTTCCAGCCCTATTTTACTCTCTACAGACCAACATGATAGCAAGAGAAAAGCTCATGGCCGGCAATTTGCAGATAGTCAAAGAACTAACTTCACCATAATTAAGTGCAGACATTTCAAGTTGGAACACATTTACAGTGTTTTGGGGTACTCAGTATTGCTTCAGATGTCTTTTTGCTGCAGGAATCAAGCCAGATGACAGACTCGTTGAGAAGATTTGGAGCGCATTGATCCCTAAACAATACGAGGATCTTCAACCTTTTTGTGGACTGCTATACTTCTGTAGTCAAACGATGTCTTATTTGGGTACAAATAGTCTTTGACTTAATGACTTACTGCTCAAGGACTCAGAGTAAATTGAAAAACACGATACGTGTTTTAGATTATCCAACGATGTTTTTGCTCAAAGTCAGCTGAACTCGTTTCTCATGGACCACGAAATAGTAATGACCACCGGAGCTTCTGAACAGGCGGGCATACATGGTGATATAGATTTTGAGATAACGGCTGGCAGCTGAGCGCAAAAACTGCAACCGACAAGCAGAACATCTAGCAAACGTGTTTGTGGTTATACGAGTAAGGCAGATCTCAGGCGCAAAATCACTCAGCAAACCAGTAGCGTATTTAGGGGGGGGGGCGTATGCGGACGAGCCCCCCCCCCCCTCAGGGAATCGGTCCCTCTCTTGTACTATTTTGAGATATCCATTTTTGGCTGACTGGTTTTAAAAATTTTCTAAAGCCGTCTTTGGCGCCAATCTATATGAATTTTGAGTTGGGAGCGCGCGCTGAAAAAACGCAATTTTTTAGTCGTAATTTTCCAAAAAATTCATAAAAACTCCTTTTTGGCCTGTTTTTTCACAAATTTGCCTGCTGCAAACAGAACTAAAACTTTTGAAAAATATCTTTGCTCCGGACGGAAGAATATTGAAAGCGCATCAAAAGCCAAGGAAAATTATCAGTCGTTGTTGTCGCTGGTTGTGGTCGGATTGAGTTTTTAGGAAGTATTGAAAGAAATACTATAACTTACCTGATCTTTTGAATAAAAAATTTTGGCATACTGTTTTTGGCAAAATTCAAAGTTTAGTCTTTTCCGTGAAAACGAGATTATATCAAAACCATTTCAAAAAGAGTCCGTTTCAATAAAGCTCAAAAATATTTTTGAAAAGTTCTGCAAATTGTTTAAGCTTTTATTGTCAAAAATAGCTAATACAGCTTTTTATTTAAGTTTGTTATGATTATCGTGATCGGAACTGTCTGTGTTCCTTGCTTGCTACAATTTCACACAGCCAAGACAGTTGGAAAACTGGACAGGCGCTTTTTGTGTGAGCAGCTGATTTTAGTATTATGAAAAATGGTGCGGCTCTTTTTCCTAAAGCCCCCCACCCTCCCCCCACCTGCAACTTTTTATAATTAAAATTACTGTTCGCATTGTCCGATTGTCATGAAAATTGACACGCTGATAAATTAAGCCATGACAAACATACTTGATCATCATAATCAACCTAGTAAAACTACTCGTTAGACCATAAAATTGATGCTTGTGTGAGGTGGGGACATATCGGTGAAAGGCCTTATTGCAAGGACATATGGTCCTCATTCGTTCTAAAACCACTGGTCTCGTTTTACTTTTCCCTTCCCCAGCGAAATTTTGCTGGAATAAATTTTGATTGCAAGGTCGTCCGATTGCTAAAACATCGGCATGCTGACTAATTAGGTTTTAAAAGCAGATTTGATTTCCATACTTTATCGGCTCTTTTTCTTTTTCCCCAAAAATTAAAATTAAGTATGAAGACCAAATATGCTTGTCAAGGCCAACTTTGTAATTTTTGTATTAATCGGACAATGTGAGCAAAAAATCACCAAAAAATCACTAAATTTGCAGGTTGGCGGGGGGGGATGGCAAGCGCATACGATGCTTATAAGAGCAGTCAACACTTTAAAATATGATGGATATATTGGGTATATTGAATTTATTGGCTCAATTTTGCACGTGACTTTAAATACTCAAACCATAAGCACTTAACTTAGTGTTATTCAGATATTCAGAGGATTATCCTGTAAATTGACTCTTTTCCATTTTCCCCCTTTCAAATTTTGCAAAATTTATTTTACGAAAGCCTATTTAAAACGTCTTTTGATTTTTCAAGCTGCACTAAAACCTGTCAGCGTGAAAAAGTAACAAGATTTAACAACATTTTATTCATGCAGATTGCCGTATGAACAGTTTTGAAACAACTTTATGTTATTTTACGAGGGGGTGGGAAACTGGAAAAGAGCCAGTAAGTTGAACAAACTTCACCACCATCGAACCAGCCGCTATTTGTATCAACTGGACATCATGGCGACTGCAGCTAGTGGTGTGCAGTTGGGAGTGCCGGATGTGGTGGTTGATGAGGAGATGAGTCATAACACGGATTTGGTGCCCGACTTCGACCAAGAGAGGGAGATGTATGGGAAGCCGAGGCGGGTGAAGATGGGGGACCTGGAGAAGTACGTGACTGCAAACTACAAAGAGGCCCAGTCCAACTCAGGTAGAACAATTTAAGGCTCTTTTCCAGTCCCCCCCCCCCTGCTTTATTCGGAAACTCAATTTATGAAAGTAAATTTAAACTGACTCTTCATGCTATAAGCTTTATTAAAACGCGTCATCGTGAATATTGTGACTTATCGAAAGTCGGAACAAAAACCAGTTGGTGGAAAAAGAAGAAATTCTAAAATGCATCTACCTTCAAGGCGGGGTTATGGTGACTGCCGCAGTTGAAAAAAAAACGGATCATGAAAGTTAGGCTCTTTTTCCTTTTCCCCCCCACCTCACGCCAGTTTCAACTTATTAGTGTAACGAGTGGTTTTACGAGGTTGAGTATGAAGACCAAATATGTTTGTCGTGGCCTTATTGGTCTGTATGTAAATTTTCATAACAATCGGACAATGTGGTCAATAAATTTACATGTAAAAAATTGCAGGTGGGGGGGGGGGGGGAGGAAAAAGAGCTGAAAGTTATTATTTGCGTTTTTCGAATGACTTTGATGGGAAATATGCTGAATGGCCGGCTCTTTTTCTGTTTCCCCTTCTAAAACGACCATTGACTCATGAACAATTCTCTGGTAAATTTTTAATTGTAATTTGTAATTTAACGAGGGATTGGGAAAACTAAACTGCCAGGTCGTTTGAATACTGTAATATTTACCCGCTCCATCTATAAAAAATCTTTCAACAATGCCGGCGTCCGGGACAATCTGTGTCCTCTGGTACCAAATAAAATATCGTTAATTTCCTTGATATTCATTATAATTGAGCCCATTCTGTTTAAGTATCTGACAACCTTGAGATGGTCCCCACTCCCCTCCAGAACGAGAACTCGATGCAGGTCCATCTGTCCAAATCCTTCTCAAAAGACGTGTCGAGATCTCCCAATGGCTCCCGACGGCAGAACGAGACCACCCCCCAGGTGGATCAGAGTGGGGACAGTCTGATTAGAGAGGCTGAGGAGAGGGAGGCGGAGGAGGTGGAAGGCGAGAGGTAAGGGCTCCAATTCTTAAAGGCAAAGTTTATGCATACAAAAATTCCTTCGTGAAAAGATTTATTGACTCTGAGAAAACATTTATTTGTTTCATCTGATTGTTCTTCAAAACACTTAATTTGAAGAAACGAAAAAACTAAACCAAGCCCGAAATGAAACTGCCTCCCATTTTGTGGTCGGAGCTATTAATACCGCGCGCGCAATCAATAATTCTATTTTTAAAACTTTCTCCTTCCTTTCCCTTTTAGAAATGACCTGTTCCCGAAGAACAACAGCAACCTGGTTCCTGACTTCCTCACTGAGCAGGAGAGGTATGGACCAGCCAAAGTGGCCAACAAGGACATGATGCTGCGAGTTACCAGCAACTTCTCAGAGGCCATCACTCCTAGAGGTGGGCTGGCAAAGTGCCTTCTCCCCATTTTTGAACCCAATCCAAAAACTACAGTTGATTTTTTGTAGCCCCGGGTCGAGGTTGTTCTAAGCCTTCTTGTATTTTTCTTATTACGCTCATCATCACAACGCTTAGGTCGAAAAATAGATTTAACAGCGTGTTGCTTTTCAAAAAAAGACGCATAAGGTTTTTTTCGGTTATTAATATACTGAGTTAAGTTATAGACGACGATTTTGCTGAAAAGTGAAAGGAAAGTAAGATTTTTCGAAAGTGGTCTAATGGAACTTAAGACTGCGGGACTACAAAAGGGTCGGTTTCACATCAACAGTTCGAATTACAAGCTTTTTCGCACACACAAAAACGTAGATTGATTTTGTGAGATCCTGTTATCAATTTATTACAGACTAATCCCTCACGGCTGTCAAAGAGATACCACGGTCCTATGCGTGCTTTTGCGTGAGTTGGTGTTGTTAAAAATCCTATAAAATATTTTTTTGGTTCAAACATAACTTTAGAGTCTTCGAGAATTTGATGTTGTTACGTTGAATAAATATTATTATATTCTTTTCAAAATATAGAGAAGAAATTGCAATCTTTTATTCTGGAAATGCCAATTTGATTTCTTAAAAAAGTCGAAGCATGTCATTTGAGCTGAGGGGGTACCGCAAAAATTTCAAACTTATCTATCTCTGCGCAGGTGCAGTACTGTAAGCAATGAAGTTACCTGAGCTGCAGTTATTGCTAATTGAAAACTACTCCCAATACCCCGCCTAGTTGACCTCAGTGTCGTCTAAGGCAATTTATGGGGACCCACAGGGTCTCATCACTTCCTTGAACATACCATGTAAAAAGAAGTTGTCAGCAAGCATGCAGTAGTGCTGCATCAGTTATCAACACTGCCCGTTTGAAACGTGGGTAGTTTTGCTGATACCTCCTTAATTGATGGAAAAATTTGACTTTTATCTTTTTCAATTGCAAACCAAACTATCAACTTGGGGCATGTTATTTAAAAGCAATTTATTTAAAATAGTCTTAATCAGGTTAATTTTCTAATTCTTTTTTTTGCCGTTCAACGTTTTCTGAAATTTTTCAATTTATTTTAAATTTCTTTAAGAGTAAAGGTTCAATTGCCTTCAGCAATAATGTTTTTGGGTCTTTTCGGTTATACCTAGGGGCGGATCTAGGATTTCTCTCGAGGGGAGGGGGGAGGAGGGCGGATTTACCAGATTGATTTTCCGAGCTCCCCGCGGGAACTAAAAAGACCCTGGTTTGGCCAAACAGCGCCGCATGCAAAATTTTGAAAAAAAAACAGGCCAAAAACATTACGAGGCAAAACTGTGCACTGGATAGGCGCGCAATTTTGTGTCTGTGTGTTCCTAGATTCCAGAGACAAGTATTTAAACATTTTCCAAAGTGTAAGTGGATTCCACTTCCCGAGTCGAGGTTTTTCACCTATTTGAAGCAAGATTTGAGCGGTTTGAGCGGTTTTTTTAGACAATAACGCTCAAAATCTTGCTTCAAAATGAGCGGTTTGAGCGGTTTTTGAACGGTTTATCTAAAAAAAACCGCTCAAAAACCGCGCAAGATGTGAACGGTTTTGAGCGGTTTATCTAAAAAAACCGCTCAAAAACCGCTCAAAAACCGCGCAAGATTTGATAATAAAAAGTCGACCACAGAGGGATTCGAACCGCCAATCTTCTGATTTGTAGTCAGACGCCTTATCCGTTAGCCCATGCTGCCCTGAAAATAGTGTCGCGCAGCGAAACCAATATAAATTACGCACCACAATGAGTACTGAATACTCTGCAGTATTCAGTGCTTATGTTTCACCTAAAATAAAGATGTTCTCTCATTATTCTGCTTGACATAGGAAAGTGTTTTGGGCACATTGGCGGCCCAGATGCACCACTGGCAATCTCCGGTTCTCATTTCAAAATCAAACAGCCCCACTCCTGTATCCCCAATGCCTCACGTGACCACCCAAGTAGCAGTTAGTTTGTTCCCTTTCACATAAGCTGTGAAGTTTAAGAGTGGGGGTTCAGTAACTGCTGTAGCTGTAACACACTACCATAAGCAACATCAAATATACTGCGCGTTGAGTCTAATCTACAGAATACTTCTGTATCAGTCCAGTTAGTTTGATGGTATGAACTGCATAACTAAAACTGAGTATGGCAATAACGGCCATGAATCAAATGTCCACCTGAACACTTGTCTGCTCAGCTCATTTGTTTCAACTCATTATAGCTCACATGTTTACATGACTGGTTTACTCTGTCATGTGAGCAGACAGCCATTCTCTTTGAATAATCGGGTTTGTTGGCGGGGGGGGGCTAAGTTGGGGCGGGGGGGGGGGTGGTTGTTGACGTGAAGAGCTGGTCAAAAATGCTGTTTTTGGGCACTTTTTGGAAAATTACTACATATTGGTCGCCCCTGGATGAACGTGTTCGTTCGAGTTTTGCAGAGAAGAGAAACGTTGATTACAATAACGAGTAATTACAAGATTTATGTGGAATCCGCGTGCATATGTTTGTAACGTAAATTTTGTCGGCATATTTAAGTTTTTGCGGACTCCGCAACAAGCAAAAATAGCTAGTTGTTCTGGATTCCGCAGCTTTAAGCGGAATCCGCAATTGTAAGCGGATTCCGCAATTTGTAAAGGAATTCAGAATTTTGTTTATTACTAAACTTGCATATGCACTTGCGGGATTTAAAAGCAAGGACTTAACCGTTGTCAGCGGAATCCACGAACAAAACTTAAAACATTGGTTATTTAAATCGATTGAAGTCGCATTTTAGTATTTGCAAGCAGTTTTTGGGATCATAGTTTTGGAAACACAACACCGAATAAATTCATTGGGTTAATTCGGTAATTGGGTTAATTCATTATTGGGTTGACATATCGCCGGATTAGGTCAGTATTTGGGATTCAGTATTTGAGATTCAGTATATGGAATTCAGTATTTGAGATTCAGTAATTGGGAGCGTGAGTTCAAGTTATGAGGACAATATTTATGATGAGATGACAAAATGAAATCATGAGTTAGCTATTCAAATCTTTCTGAAGCGCTAACTCACAATTATTAAACAAATTTAGAGCTCTGAATGTCTTATTCTCAAGGAACTGTCCCGTCTCAAATAACTGTTGGATCTTGCTCAAAGCTTGCCAGAGTTTTTAGGGGGCAGATAGTGAGATCTAAGATCAACAAATTTAGTTTTTATTATCAGTACAATGTTTTTTTTTTGCTAAAACCTAATTTTTCATAGGTGTTTTATTTCTGTTCGCTGAGGGGTTCGTTCGCTCCATATTTTTTCAACATAGTCTTGTGACAAGGCTATTTTTTTGAATTTCAATGATTTTTTTAGGTATTTTCTTGCCATTAAGAAAAATTGATAAGGTCGGTTTTTCTAGAAAACAAAAAGAGAAATTTCATCATGGGGTGTGTCGGGAAACCGAGGTCAACTTCTTTTCAGAAAGTTTTTGAAGTCAAAATATTACTTATTATCAAGAAACAACGGTTTTGAAGCCGATGAACGTTTAAAATTTGGTTTTCAGTTTCTTTCAATTTTTGATACGTGGTGGTTTTTTCAGTGTCATCAATTTTTTTGTTACGTTTTTTTTATTCGAATTTTTTTTCAGAGTCCTCAAAGTATAATTTCTTACGTACCAAATGTTTTTCCATGAGTCAATTGAGCATATAATTGGCTTTAGCCATGTTTAAAAAAATTGAGTCGGTCACATTTATTGTTGAATAGATAGAGGCCGGCCAAAAATTTGTCAAAACTTGGAAACTTTTCAAAAAAAATAGTTTTTTTTTAGAAAACATCTTAATCCTTTCAAAAATTGAATTCTTTGTTCAAAATGTTTCAATTTGTTCTCTAGACGTGTGCAGTACTGAGTCAGCATGAATTTTACACATGAGCTTTCCTGTGATTTGATATGATGGTCGTTCCAATCAAAGACTTCATTTTGTGGTTAACGGGCTCTTGAGTCAAGCCTAAGACGTACCTAAGCTTCCCAATAGGCTAGTTCAATGTGCCATTCGGTTTTTTCGTCCTTTAAAGTGTGTTATTTTGTTCTGGCTAGTGGTAAGACATGACATTTTTACCTTGTGTGCTTTTAAACTTAACTAGGAGGCAGCTGTTTTTTGGATGCCGTCACGGAGAAAGAGCTGTTCACTGTTTGTTATGACTGTTTGTTCTTAATTGAATCTTTGAATTTAACCATATTCTCTTTTTCCTTATTATTGTTTTTTTTTACTGTTTCCAGTATGTGTTATGGTCTGAAAAATATGCCGGCCTGTCAAAATTGTTCGTGGGAGTCAATTATCAATTTAAAGTATTTTGTTCACAGGGAGTAAACGATCTACTTAGCTAAATTTAGTAAATTAGTAATAGATAAAAATGACCGAAATTTGAATTACAGCAGAATTAAATTTAAGTTCAAAAAAACAAAAAATCAGTCCTATAAATTTTGCTTTGTCATACCATATTCTGGTTTTTCGCTTTGAAAAAATTCAAACTAGCCTAATTAAAATTTTTTTCTACTAATTCAATGGCTAAAAATGAACGAATGAACAAGTTTACTTTCGTTTGTTCAGTTGGCGGCAATTGAGAGGGCAGGAAATAAGATTGATGACATGAGTTGAGATCGAAGTTAAATGTTTGTAGATGGTGAGATTCAAGCTGGGTATGATTAACAGGAATTGAGATAGAAGTTGGGTACGTTCGACAGCATTTGAGATCGAAGTTGGGTGTTTGACAGGAGTTGAGATCAAACCTTTGGCATTCCAACTGGTAGCTGATCAACTTATTTTTTAAAAGATATATTTTTAAACTCTACTACACAAACGTATATGTAAACGGGATCCGCAACAAAAATGCGGATTCCACTTACAATTTGCGGATTCCACTTACAATTTACGGATTCCACTTACAGTTTGCTGATTCCGCTTAGAGTTGCGGATTCCACAACAACTCAATTCAAATATACATATGTATCATTATTTGTTTGTGGATTCTACAAACTGTTCTGGATTTCGCCTATTTTTGGAGCGATTTTGAACGGTACAGGGTTTTAGGTATTTTTTTGTGGAACCCAAAAAAGCAAAGAAAATTAAAGAAATCTAGCAATGTTGAGGATTCCGCGACAAAACTGATTTGGGCCTGTTGCTGAATCCGCTTACAATGCACAGAATGCACCGTTTGGTCTCGTGATGAAAGACGTTTTTGGGCCCTTTTTCGAAAATTTTGACCAAAAACGGCGTTTTATCGGCACGCAATCCGCCCTCAAAATTATTATATATTGGTGCCAAAGGCGCCTTTCGAAAAACTTCAGAATCCGTCACAAAATATGGATATCTCAAAATAATACAAAGGGGAGACCCTTTGGATCGGGAGGGGGTCGAATCCCTGAGGACAAGGAGAGGCGTCCGCCCCCCCCCCCCCCCCCCCAATCCGCCCCTGGTTATACCTCTTAAAATCAAAAAAAATTAAAAAGATTTTTGGATCTGCTTAACAATCTCTCCCCACTCCGAAGAGGAGATTGTTAAGTAGAAGATCAAAACAGGCAAACTGCCGACCAATCAGAATGCAGCAAAGTTAGAAGAGTTTGCAATAGAACGCTCTGTGCTGATTTAATGTATTTATTCATAGAGGGGGATTGTTAAGTATATACCATAGAAGGAGGGGGCTTGTTTAGTAGATCCTGATTTTTTTTTCCAAATTTGGATCGATATTAATACGAAACACAAGATTGATATCCAGAGCCTTGAATAAACCTAAAAGACTAGAAAGAAAACGACAAAAAACAGGGAAAAGAACCTGTTTTGGGCTAAGTTTGATGAAATTTCTTCGTTTCGGCCTCCATCCATTTTGATTCTTTAAACTAAACCAGCCTTTCTTAGTAATTTTGATCCAATTTTGCAACAAATTTTGATTTCGAGTATTCATAATTTAGGGGGGGGGGGAGGTGGGGGGGGGGGGGGGAGGTATAAACGAAAAGACCCTCGTTTTTTGGACTTCTGAAAAATTCCCGGTTGATTAAACAACCCCAGTATAAGGGTCAGCGAAAATTGCATTGCTTCATTGTCACTCTTTAAGGATATGAGCTGAAAAATAAGGGTGTAACAAAAAAAAACGTTATCTCTGACAGTTTAACATATACGACCAACTCCACCTAGAAAAAAGCCGGTAAATTTAGCTATCTGACAAATTTTTAGGATCACCGAACGTAACAGCCGACAACCCGGGCGCACTCGTTACAGCCGAAAACTCAATGAAGGTCGAGTTATCCTTCAACAAGGAGGAAAACGTTGAGAAGAAAGTTCACAAAGGCCACAAGAAGAAACTGACAAAGTCCAAATCTAGCAAGAAGACTCTAAAGACGTCAGGATCCGAAGCCGGTGGTTCAAGTTCGGATAGGCGAGATTCGGCTGCGCTGAAGCCACGAAGAGACGATGAGGATGGGGAGGGAAATGAGTCGACTAGTAGTAAACTGAAAGCAGTTGCATGCTGCATTAAATAACTGTTCCAAACTTGAAATGAAAGTGAACCAATTTGAAACCATGATTGAATACAATGCAGTCAAAGAATCGATGGGTTTTTGGGGAAAAGTCCTCAGAATTTTCTTTCTGTCTGACATTTGTACCCTTTTAAAAAACTTTACTTGATAAATGAGGTTCCTGCGATTGATAATCATAACAAATTGGGATCTCCTTAACTGTATCCCCCCTCGGGTACCTAGAAACGAATATTCCCACGGTAAAGAAATAAATCAATATGGCTCAGCAGGCTTAACCCAGGCAGTCTCAAGTATGAGAAAATGTCATTACACCATCTGGTTTGTTTTCAAACCTCTCTGAGCGAAAAAATGTCTTCGTTTTATAATGATAAATAGGGAGAAAAATATCTAGGCAAAAGAGCCAATCTCAAAAAACAGATAGGCATTACATTGCTGCTAAACAAGATTGTGAATTAAGGAAACTATGTGATTCGAAGTTTTACCGAAGACACTACCGCCAAATCAGTAGCCCGGGTTGAGCTGCTCACTCTATGATTCGATCGACTCGACCAAAACTCGGTACGATTCGGCCGTCCCGACCACTTTTGTGAATGGGTTCGGTTTTGCTCTAACACAGCGAGATAAGCTTCGGCCGTCACGCCGAAAAAAAATTTGCTCATCTTTGCTCGACCCTGTTATACGGCTCAGTAACCGTATTCTAGGTCATAGTGTTGATCTCACGCAGTCTAAGCTACCACTGCTGATTGTCACCTATCAGTGCTTTAGAATTATTCACGTTTTATCTCGACACTCTCTTATCTCCGTTGAAAGATTAATGTTGATATTTTTCTTTCTAATGAAACCAATTATAAATTATTTTCGTATCAAAATTTAAATACATTTGAGTTTTGTCGTAGTTTTGCAACTGAGTTTTTTGTAGCGATTGTAGGGGTATCTCATGGGACAGCCAGCAGTCTTTGAATCTGATGATAGAACAAACCTTTTGGGCATACCAGTATTCTGGGCGAAAAAATCTTTACAGCCTCCGTAACTGTAAAAATGACAACCCGGGCGCACTCGTTACAGCCGAAAACTCAAGGAAGGTCAAGTTATCTTTCAACAAGGAGGAAAACGTTGAGAAGAAAGTTCACAAAGGCCACAAGAAGAAACTGACAAAATCCAAATCTAGCAAGAAGACTCTAAAGACGTCAGGATCCGAAGCCATTGGTTCAGGTTCGGCTAGGCGAGATTCGGCTGCGCGGAAGCCACGAAAAGACGATGACGATGGGGAGGGAAATGAGTCGACTAGTATTAAACTGAAAGCAGTTGCATGCTGCATTAAATAAATGTTCCAAACTTGAAAAGAAAATGAACCAATTTGAAACCATGATTGAATATAATGCAGTCAAAGAATCGATGGATTTTTGGGAAAAATTCCTCAGAATTTTCTTGCTGTCAGACATTTGTACCCTTTTAAAAAACTTTACTTGATAAATGAGGTTCCTGCGATTGATAGTCATAACAAATTGGGATCTCTTTAACTGTATCCCCTCTCGGGTACCTAGAAACGAATATTCCCACGGTAAAGAAATAAATCAATATGGCTAAGCAGGCTTAACCCAGGCAGTCTCAAGTATGAGAAAACTTCATTACACCATGTGGTTTGTTTTCAAACCTCTCTGAGCAAAAAAAAGTCTTCGTTTTATAATGATAAAAAGGGAGAAAAATATCTAGGCAAAAGAGCCAATCTTAAAAAAACAGATAGGCATTAACGTGCTGATCAAGAAAATTGTGAACTAAGGAAACTATGTGATTCGAAGTTTTAATGAAAACACTACCGCCAAATCAGTAGCCCGGGTTGAGGTGCTCACTCTATGATTCGATCGACTCGACCAAAACTCGGTAGGATTCGACCGTCCCGACCACTTTTGTGAATGGGTTCGGTTTTTCTCTAACCCAGCGAGATAGGCTTTGGCCCTCACGCCGAAAAAAAAATGCTCATCTTTGCTCGACCCTGTCATACGGCTCAGTAACCGTATTCTAGGTCATAGTGTTGATCTCACGCAGTCTAACCTACTACTGCTGATTGTCACCTGTCAGTGCTATAGAATTATTCACGTTTTATCCCGACCCTCTCTCATCTCCGTTGAAAGTTTACTGTTGCTATTTTTCTTTCTAATGAAACCAATTATGAACTAATTCCGTATCAAAATCTAAATACATTTGACGTTTTTGTTGTTTTGCAACTGAGTTTTTTGTAGCGTTTGTTGGGGTATCTCATGGCACATCCAGCAGTTTTTTAACCTGATGATAGAACAAACTTTTTGGGCGTACCAGTATTCTGGGCGAAAAAATCTTTACAGCCTCCGTTTCCATGGGAAACGTGGAAAAGCCAATTTTTCTTGGTAACCTGACTCAAAGAAGGATGCGACCCCACTTTCTGTTAATAGATCCAACTCCTGTTTTCGACGACCCTTCAAAGCCAGAATTTTTACCGGCAACAGAAACACCAGAGAAACTTCTTTTCGATAAAACTAGGTATTCAGAAAAACTTTTTTTCGAAATAATTTTTGAAGACGCTTTGCAAAATGCTTACAGTTTTTTTTACAAAAAAAACGTTTTCTCAAAAACTATCTGACCAATTTTCAAAAAACGAGTACCAATAGAAATTATGTTCCCTCACCTGGGTGCCTGCATAATCACCTAGTCTTTTTTTTACCTTACACCACTTTCTGCAGTCTTCGAAAAAGTGCGCGGGTTGTGACCCAGATTTTCAGATTTTTTTGAAATTTTTGAGCTCAAAGTGTAGAACAGAATGTGAGAAACTGCCCTGTGCAAGCAATTCTACCCAAAAAAAGTTAAAGCCCTCAGAAAATTTGAACCTTAAACTTTTCGACCGCTTTTGACACTCTTTGTCTTTTCAAAAAAATATCTTCCCGAATCAGAGATATTTGTTTCAATGTGTAGAAAGGTTACAGGAAGTTGTAAAGCATAAGCGCCAGTGCCAATTGTTTTCAGAAAATTTCATGACGTTCGAAAGGGTCAAGTTTATGTTTTTGAGCGTTTTTAAAAAATTTTTGACGGTTCTCAAAAAGTACTATCGCAAAAATGAGAATTTGGTTAAAAAGGATGCAAGGGGTTGTGAAAAACTCCACTGCATGAGCGGTTACGCCTATTTTTTTTTAAATATAAAAAGTAAAGATCCTCGGAAATGTGAAGTTTTCGATTTTTTGCCCGTGTTTTGAAACGTTTTGGCTTTTTTGACATCTAACCCCTCAAATCTGATATTTTGGTGTCAATAGAGTTGAAGGGTTGCGAGAACTTCCTCTTCTTTGGCGGCTACGCCAAAAAGTTTTTTGACTTAAAAAAATAAGGACCTCGGAAAAGTTAAATTTTTATTTTTTGATCATTTTTTAAGTTTTCAGCTTTTTCTGGAAAGCTATCCAAAAAAAAGTCAAAGACTTTGGTTTCAACCGAAGGTTGTGTTATGCTCTCCTGCATGAGCGGATAAGCCCATTCTTTGAAAAAAAAAATTTTTTTGATCGTCTAGTAAAACTTTTTGACTTTTCTCAGAAATAACTCTGATAACTGATAAATGGCTGTGCGAAGCTCCTTTGCACTTTCGGCTACGCTCATTTAAAAAAAAAAACACAATTTTCTAGAAAATCGAGTTTTTGTTCTTTTGACCGTTTTTTGAAAGTTTTTGAATCTTCCTGAAAACTTCTATCCCAATTGTGAAATTTTGAGTTTAGTCAAATGAAAATTTAGCCAAGCTCTCCTATATAAGCAGTTACTTTCTAGGTTGCAGACAAAAACCTTATCACCCTCAGGAAAACAAAATTTCAGACAAACCTGAATACTCTCAGCCGAATCTGACATCAAGTGTTTAAACGAGGCAACAGATTGTTGGAAAGCCCAGTGCAAATGCCGCTTTGCCTTGCATTTTGTAAGAAAAAATGTCCATGGCAAAAAATTCATAATTTCACTCATGACTTTTCTATTGGAGAAAGAACTAAGATTTTGGGTGCAGCCCAATTTTGAAAAATTGAAATTACCCGTTTCATCCCGCATCAGTACAACAGATTCAAAAAACTTCAAACAATATTTCCAGCTTGAGCTGGCCCCAAGTCAATTAGCAGATTAGCACGAGATAGAGCAGCTGTTCGAAAATTCGCAGAAGGTAACAACAAGAGGAGAAAGAGGAGACCAACAATCGGCCCCAACTTCATTACGAGGCAAATAATTGCGTAAAAACAAGACTCTTTTTTGCTCTCGGCTAGGAAGAACATAAAAATCCATCGACAGACTCCTCACACCACTCTAAACACGGTAAATTTCAAGGATTTTCACTATTTTGTGACTTACTGTTTAGAAGAAAAAAGCACTACATCAAAAAAATATGCAATTTTACAGTGCACATCAAGGTGGAACAGAGGGCCTCGAAGCGTTTTGTCCTCGTCTGTCAGGGAAAGCAGCGAAATTTGGTTGGACCCAAATCATCAGAAAAGGAGTATTACGTGACATCTTCCTTGCCAAAGTGAAATTCTCTGATATTCAGAGAGAGTTTTGCACAAGACCAGGTGCCACGATTAACGATACGCTAAAGGCACCCCTAATTCACGGAAAAGACTACGCCACGGCCAACAATCAACAAAAACAGAACAACTCGAGTTCTTAGATTCTGCAGTGCAAGTTATCATTTCAGATACAAAAGGAGAAGTCTGGTTCACATCTCTAAATCTGATGTAAGATTTCAGTCAGTTGAGTCTAGATGAATCAATAAGTGAACCTTGTGACTTCACTTTTATGCGGTAAAAACACGGGCCTGTTTAGACTCAAAACAAAACTTCATGTTCTGACGTGCATACCTAAGAAGCTCCAAAGGCCATGGACAACCGAAACATTCAAAAGTAGAAACGGTATAAAATCTATCGCCACCGAAGACACTGAAGCAAATAAATTAAATTGTTAATTGACGCATTCAGAATGCTCAAAAACACTAAGAAAGCTGACTGGAAGAAGGGAACTTCTCGCAGCCAGTGTAAGAAAAAACTTCAGTCAGGGACAATGATATTTA